AGCTACATTTTTTCCTTTGTAACTACTCCTTAAACCAGCTTGCAAATATTCAAGGCTGTATTACTAATTAGCCACCATTCTATACATCCTGTCTCTATGATTCACTTACCTTGTTAACCCGAAGTTTGTGTCTTTTGATCCTCCCTACACCATCTCACCCACCCTCCACCTCTTGCTTATATTTGAGCATGGTTAAGGCCCTCCCGTTGATCGTCGATTTGCTCGAGCGGGCCCAGTAACGTCTCCATTGGAGACTTTGTTGTTACTGTATCTGGCATATTGAATACTCTTGGTAGCTTGCTGGGCTCTCCGAGAGGGGCGGAGGAATCGAACTCGGGTTGGCCATGTTGGCCGCTTGTAAGGCAAACGCCCTACCCGCTGTGCTATCGCTCCAGCCCATTGAGCATGGTTATTGTGTGCTTATTTTAAGATTTACATAAAAATGAAGTCAGAGGGTATTTGTCTCTCTCTGACTTATTTAGCATAATGCTCTCAAGATTTATCCATTTTCATCCATGTACATTCAAAATCCATGTACAAGGAGGGGCAGATCGGTTACGGTCACGGTCCTCTAGTTCATCGATTTGCTCGAGCGGGCCCAGTAACGTCTCCATCATGAGACTTGTTGTTACTGTGTTTGGCATATCCAGTATGTCACGGGTATCTTGCCAGGCTTTGCCATGCTGATGAGATACTCTCGGTAGCTTGCTGGGCTCTCGAAGAGGGGCGGAGGAATTGTACCCGGCTCGGCCGGGCCGGCTGCATGCAAGGCAAACGCCCTACCACTTGCAGATACCTATTCAAATTAGTGTTTTCATTTTCTTTGGATAAATACCCAGAAGTACAATTGCCAGATCAAACGATACTTTTATTTTTATTTTTTGAAGAACCATCATACTCTTTTTAATAGTAGCTGTACCAGCTGGCATTTTAACCCATGGTATACAAAAATTTTTTTTCTCCACATCATTAATGTTTTTTATTTCTTTTCATTTGGTACTAACCATTGTGAAGTGAAAATGTGGTTTTTGGTTTGCACTTCCCTGATTAGTGAGATTGAACATCCTTTCATGTACTGCTTTATAACTTTAAATGTTTTTTGTTTTCATACCACATCCAATATTGCTCAGCGCATACTCTTGGTGCTGTGATCAGGGATAACTCCTGGCAGGGCTTGGGGTATCATATGTGGTACTGGAGACTAAACTCAGGTTGGCTGCATGCAAGGCAAGCTATATATATATAAATATATATATATGTGTGTGTGTGTATGTATGTATATATGTGTGTGTTGTACACACACAGAGAGATGTATACATGTATATGTGTTTATATATATATATATATATATATATATATATATATATAAAATAGCTCGGGTCGGCCATGTTGGCTGCGTGCAAGGCAAACGCCCTACCGCTGTGCTATCGCTCTACGAAGCCAACATGGCCGACCCAAGTTCGATTCCTCCACCCCTCTCGGAGAGCCCGGCAAGCTACCAAGAGTATCTTGCCCGCTCGGCAGAGCCTGGTAAGCTCCCCGTGACGTATTCGATATGCCAGACACAGTAACAACAAAGTCTCCAATGGAGACGTTACTGGGCCTGCTCGAGCAAATCGACGATCAACGGGAGGGCCTTTACCTTTATAATAGCTAATCCACTTTATTATTGCCCCAGCCCATTTTCTTCAGGTAGAATTATGACCACTGAGTTTGTGGGGGTTTTGGGGTGTTTGTTTCTCTACTTTTGAGAATCAAAAGAATGTTTTTCGAAAGACAAAAACATAAAATTTTGTAAAACACAGTTATTGACTTTTTGATCATGATACTGTCCAGCATATGTAGAAAAGTATTTCGGGGGCTAGAGCAGGGGAGTTGAAGATGAGTTGGGAATTGTGGTATCATTTATACAATAGCATAGTTCCCAGCTGTGCAAAGGAAAGAACTAAAACATGCAGCATGAATTAACCTGAAGAACGTTATACTTAGTAAAGGAATCCAGACACAAAAGAGGACATCCTGCATGATTCAGTTTATGTAAGGTTTGAGAACAGACGAAACTAATACATGGAAATAGAGAGATTGGAGTAGAGCCTGCTTGAGCTGAAGGTGAGAGGGCAGCTACAAAGGAGGCACAGGAGAATTTAGGGGCTGGAAATCTCCTATATCTGTATACAGTGCTGCTAGTTTCACTGGTGTGTGCATTTTTAGTATATGTTATTTTATACAAACTCAGTAAGAATTTATTGTAAAAATTTGACTTGATTGATATTCCTTCTGCCCCATATAACTTTTTAGTAATGTTGATCAGAACTATTGACTTTCAAAGTCTTTGACTAACTTCTGACAATAGTGTTTGTTTAGATTATGGTTGAATTTCTCTGCTTTTAGAAGATGTTTACCTTTTGTTGTGGCATAGCTCTAAAAAAGAAATCTATTTCGGGGCTAGTCAGGATAGATAAATCTGTACTGAGTGATTATGTAAGCGTTAGCTATATTTAGATAGTAGCTTTGCAACCATGATGACACAGGAATGTGCTTAACGGAATCTCAGATTGAGTTCCTATGTGAGACTACTGAGCAAGCTGTGCAGACTGCAGTGTTTGAGAATACCTCGCAAACATTTTCTGTTGATGAAATGCAAATTTTTTGAGAATTTTCAAGGCTCATGCAAACATGATTTCCTAAATAAACATGTCTGAAGATATTTTGCTTATAATACCTATGAGAGAATATGGAAGATAATACAGGAACATACAGAAAGCTGTTTTCTGTAAAGTACAAAGACAGATATCAAAATCAGAACCCAGCAACCACTCACAAAATTTAGGTGTATCTTAGTTTATTCTTACTGCTGTACAAACACAAATGTAGTACACGCTATTGTTTAAGATCCCACGTTGCTTTGATTATCACCAGTCTTATTCTTTGTCATATATATTCTTTGAAAAAGTTTTAAGATTTTATAAGAATGTATTATTCCTTTAATTCATGTTATTAGCATATAAGCAGTTTTTCATAGTGCCCTTTCTTTTTGCTAATTATTTTCATTTGTAGTTTTACTGAGGTATAGTGAACTGCTCAATATAGTGAGTTTTGACATGTGTATGCTAGTGACACTACCAGTAAGGAATACTTCTGTTGCTTCCAAAAATTTCTTCCTGACTTTTGTAATGCCTTCCACTCCTTTACCCGCCCCTGTTCAAAGGCATCCATTGATCACTTTCTATCAGAGATTAGTAGATATTACCTAGGATTTTACATAAATGTAATCATACAATTTATATTTTATTTTGTTAGGAGGGTTGGTTTATTTAACTTAACATAATTATTTTGAGATTTAGTCATGCTACATAACTCAACCTCGGATAATCTGTTCACCTGCTGATAGAAATGTCAATTCCCCCTTTTGGTTATTGCATATAAAGTTATGAATATTTCTGCACATGTCTTTTGGACGTAATCCTCCATTTCTCATATAAGTTTCTAGGAGTAGGTTGAATGCATGGTTATTATGCTTCTGGGATTTTTTTTGTTTTGTGTTTAGGTTTCTTGTTTGTTTGCTTTAGGGTTTTGTTGTTGTTGTTGTTATTGTTTGTTTTTGGTAGTGCTCAGGGCTTACTCCTGGCTCTGTGTTCAGAAATCACTCTTGAAAGTGCTCAGGGTACTGTATTTAGTGCTGGGGTTTGTACTTGGATCATTAGCTGTGTGCAAGGCAAGTATCTTTAATCCCTGTACTCTCTCTCCTGCCCTCTGTTTTGTTTATGTTTAGTTTCAAAAAAAGAGACTTCTTAAAATGGAGGAAGAATTCATGTAATACAAAGTTAATTTTGAGCATACAGTTCTCTGGCATTTAGTAATTCGCTAAGTGTTTAGTGTTTCCTTTATGTACTACTAAAACATTTCATCACCCAAAAGGTTACTACATACTCATCCTTCCATCCTCCTTCTTATCCTCCTTTCCATCTTCCTTCCTCCCATCCTCCCATCCTCCTTCCTTGCCTTTATCTCTTTATAACTTCAATTTGAATTCTTTTTTGTCTGTGAGTTTGCTTGTTTTGGACATGTATATAAGCGGGTGTGTATGCTATGCAAGCCTTAGAAGCAGGCTTCTACGCACTGTAGCGTGCATCAGTGCTTTGTTCTTTTTGATCTCTTTTGCATGAGCTCTATATTTTGTTTTTCCATTCATCCATTTTAGAACTTTGCATTGTTTCCATCTTTTGAGTATATAGTTAGAGTAGAATTTCTGAGATATATGGTAATTCTCTTAAGTTCTCGAAGAACCACCAGAGAATTTTGTGTCTGCACCATTTTACACTCCCTTCATCAGTGCGTATGAGTTCACTTTCTCCATATTCTTGCCAACACTTGTTATTATCCTTCTTGTATTACTATTAATTATATAGCCTTCCTTATGGATATGCAATAATATAGCCTTTTACCATGGTTTTCATCCATTTAATGACAAAAATACATTTTGTTTTTTCACATGCTTGTTTGTTGGCCATTCATATATCTTTGGAGAAATGTCTATTAAAAACCCTTTCCAGATTTTTAAGTTGAGTTGTCATTCTGTTGATGAATTATGAGTTCTCCATAGATATAAATACTTTGATACATCTGATTTGTGAATATTTTTCTCCTAATCTCTTGATTGTTTTTTTATTTTCTTAATGCTTTTTTAAAAGTCAAACTTAAATTTTAGTGAGGTCCAGTTTTTTTTAATCTATTCTGTTACCGTACCTTTGCCAAATTCATAATTAATAAGATTTTCTTCAGTTTTTACTTCTAGAATGTTCTAACATTGGCTTTCATGTTTAGACTGTGATCCATTAAAAGTTTTAATTTCCCTTTTCTGTGTATTACTGAAACTGAAAACCTAAATAAGATCTGACTTTTATTTATATAGTAGACCTGATGGTATGATGCCAGGTATTCCCAAATTGATCTATACAGTGAGAGTAATGCAAAAAATAAATAATGCAAGCCAAATTTCAGTGCTCGCTTTGGCAGCACATAGGCTAAAACTGGAATTATGCAGGGAAGATTTGCATGGCGCCTGCTTAAGGATGCACACAGATTCCAGCAGGTTGTTGTAGAAATTGGCAAGGTGTTTGTGGAATTTATATGATACTGCAAAGACTTAGAATAGCCAAAAGAGAAGTGTTAATTGAACTTAGTAGCTGAATTCAACTCCTATTATAAAGCTATAGTCATTGTAAGACTATGGTACTGAAGAAAGACAAGACATGGAGATTCATGCGGGAGATTTGAGTCTCCAAAGAAAGACACACATTCCAGATAAAGGTCCCCAAACAACTCAGTGACATGTCGGCAGGGTTGCATGTTTTTTGGTAGTCATTTTGACTTTTGTGTGTTTGTTTTATTTATATCAAGTAACTTCACTGTTTACATTTAAATATGAATTGTTTTGGTATCTATTTGTATATATTTTGAAAATGGCATTTTAAAAATTCTCAGTTTTATTTTTTGTTTTCTTTTACTAGTTGTATGATTTGGTCTCTGCAGGATACAATATATAAAGAATTTGTGATAGGCATTCTTATTTTACAGTAAAATAAACATTTTAAATATTTTAGTCTTGTGGGATACTAGGTTTAGACTATATATATTTAGACTTTATTGTGCCAGTCTATATCTATATCTATATATACAACCTCATACAAAATTGTAATTTTAAAAGTTTTTTTGGGTCACACCCAGCAATGCTTAGGGATTACTCCCGGCTCTGCATTCAGGAATTACTCTTGACACTTCTTGGGGGACCATATGGGATGCTGGGAATTGAACCTGGGTGGGCCAAATGCAAGGCAAATGTTCTATCTTTTGTATTATCACTCTGGCCCCAATTTTAAAAGCCTTTAACTTTGCTTTTATCAAGTTACTCTTTTATATACTGCAGTTTTTAATGTAATTATGTAGGATTTTATGGATTTTTCTAAAATTTATTTTATTGTTATATTCCTGAAATATCTAACACAGTTATGCTACATTTTATGCATAATTCAGGTATCAATTATTTATATTTTCATAGAGATTATCTGTTATTTTCCTTGTATTTTTCTAATCACATTTTAACATAAATTTTTTTAAAATTTTTATTAGTGAGACATCATGAGGTACAGTTGTAGACTTACAAATTTTTGTGCTTGGGTTTCAATTATACAATGATCAAATACCCATCCGTCCACCAGTGCCCATTTCCCACCACCACGGATCCCCAGTATCCCTCCCACCCCCATCCCCCATCCCACCCTGCCTCTGTGGCAGGGCATTCCCTCTTGTTCTGTCTCTCTCCTTTTGAGTTCTGTGGTCTGCAAGAGAGGCATTGAGTGGCAATCATGTTTGGTCTATAGTCTACTTTCAGCATGCTTCTCCCATCCTGGGAGGATCCTCCCAACACCCTTTATTTGGTGTTCCCTTCTCTATTGAGCTCCCTTTTCCCCTAAATATTTTTAAGAGTCTTTAAAAACTTAATCAAATTATCTACTCCATTGTTCTATGACATTTATGCACATACTTTTTTTTTTCTTTTTTTTTGCATTTTCTAGATGTGCCTTTTTTTCCTTTGACCTCTTTTTTTTTTTTTAATTAGTGAAACACCATGAGGTACAGTTGTAGACTTATAAACTTTCGTATGCGCATGCATTTTTTTTCTATAAAAATTTTATTTATCTAGTATTAAGAATATTTTTTTAGACTGGTATCACAGTAATAGCTGGGAATGATCATGCTGAACAAGAATTAAGTGTTAAATCTAGGTAAAAGGATATTCTTGATGACCTTTCAGTATCAATATTGCAAACAACAATGTCCAAAAGGGGGGGAGAAAGTGAGAGGGGGAGAGAGGGAGAGGGAGAACAGGGAGTGGGCGAGGGAGAGAGAGAAGGAGAGGGAGCAAGTGCACCTGCCATAGGGGCAGGCAGGGGGTGGGGGGTGATAGGAGGGAACCTAGGGATACTGGTGCTGGGAAATATACACTGGTAGAGGGATGGGCATTGGAATACTGTATGACTGAAAACTCATCATGAACAGCTTTGTAAGGGTCAATCTCACAGATTCAATAAAAAAAGAGAAAATATATCTTTTGCTACATTTTTCTTTTAGGGGTTTATTAAAAATTAATATATTTTTTCTTTGTAGTTTATTTTCTGAACATGGTTTAACTAAGACATGTGTAATGCATCTCTGGACTTTTTGATTTTGGTTTATTCTGCTTTTTTTTGTTTGTGTTTTGTTTTTTCTTCTTGGGCCACACCAGCTCCGCTCAAGGCCTTGTGCTCAAGGATCATTCCTGGCGGAGCTCAGGGAATCATAAGGGACTCTGGAGTTTGAACCTGAGTCAGCTGCATGCAAGACAAGTGTCCAACTCACTGTATTATCTCCCCCGCTCCCATCATCTCTAATTTTTTATTGAACAAATATTTCACACTAAACTATTTTCTTACATTGTAGACATTTTTGTCTGTATTTTACATCAAAATTTTTGACAAAGGAACATCTTAGTTTTCATCAAATTCCTTCCTTTCTACTATTTCACACTTTTTATAATAAGAAATAAATGTTTCCACAAGGAAGTTAAGGTTCTTTTTTTTTTTTTGCTTTTTGGGTCACACCTGGTGATGCACAGAGGTTACTACTGCCTCTGCACTCAGGAGTTAACTCCTGGCAGTGCTCAGGGGACCATATGGGATGCTGGGAATCGAAGCTGGGTCGGCCGCTTGCAAGGCAAACGCCCTACCCGCTGTGCTATCTCTCCAGCCCCAAGGTTTTTTTTTAAAGAATGTTTAAACAGTTCATTTGGTGGAGAAATTTTAAGGATAAAACTCTGGACTGAATGCCATTTGACTTCCAATATCTCTGGATAAACTTGGGAAGATTTTTGCTATTACTCTCTGATGATTAGGTTTTATCTTATTTTTTAAAACTCTATTGAGGAAGTTTTATGATTCACAAGACTGTTCATGATGGTTTCAGGAACATATTCCAACCCCACACCCATCACCAGTGTATTCCCTCACCCTAAGACCTCAAGATCCTTCCTTTCAGACGCTGACCCCACCAACTGAGTTGTGTGAGTCAGTTCTCTCATTGTGTTTCTGTTGGCCCTTTGTAGCTATCTTGCTATAGATCTTTAAATACCATATATGAAAGCAATCACTCTGTATCTGTCTTTTTCCTTCTGTCTTCACTCAGCATGATATCTTCTAGGTCCATCCATGTTGCTGCAAATTGCATGGTTTTATCATATATATATATGTATATATATAATTATCTATCTATCTGTCACAGCTTCTTGATCCATTCAGGATGATTTGGTTTTAAATGTCGAATCAGATGTCATGGCTTGTAGCTTGTTAGCTTATATTTCAAGGCTTAATGACAACATATAAATAAATGGTGGGCCCTACATTATATCTACATGGCGTATGGTCTTTAGGGAACTGGCTTGTTGTCTTCTGATTACATGTTTTGTTTTTGGTTTTTGTTTCTGTTGTTTTTTGTTTGTTTGTTTGTTTGTTTTGGGTTTTCTTTTTGAGGACCACATCCATCAGTGCTCAGGGCTTACTCCTCTGTGCTCAGAAATCACTTTTGGCAGTTCTTGAGGGATCATATGTGGTATCTGGGATCAGACCAAAGTTGGCAAGGCAACTTTGTGCAAGGCAAGCACCTTAATCGCTGTACTGACTCTGTCCTTTTGATCTCTTTTTAACCAGAGTAGTTGACAGAGCTCACACTCTGTAGAAACCTTTGCTTTAATCTGTTTGTTCACTTCATTTGCGTTATGGTCTTCTCTACACTTGAATTCCTTTGCAGTGGTCCTTATGCCATAGGTCTATTTTGTGAGTTAGCTAAAACGAGATTAAGTGGTCTATAAATATTCATGACTACTATTGTAAGCTCCTGTGCTTCACAGCCCTTGGGAAGCAAGTGCTCTGTCAGTCTGAGTGTTAGTTGTCACTCCTCCTGAATTTCCTGTGGCCCCAGACCATGTGACATGCAGACCATGTGAGGACACCATTGTTAATAAGTATGTTGTCAGAGCAATGTATGTGTTTTTTGCTATGTAATATTTTGTCCAGGACTGATCAAAATAAATTATAAAATACTTGAATACTTTCATCCACATCTTCTTGGAGACTGTAAACAAAGATAATATAAACCTGAAATGCTTTTAATATGGAAGTAATGCGGATTTTGCATTTTAAAAAATGAACTGACCAAGAATGTAAAAGTTCTTTCTCCTCTGGACTATACTTTCTTAAAGGATTAACCAGTTTTCCTCTATCTTGTATTCTTAGCATTTTCTTGAAATAGTAAATGCTCAGTAAATATTTTTAAACTGAAATTCTTCTAAATCATTAATTAATATCCAGAAGCCACATAATAATAATCGGTGGCACTTGAGAGAAAAAATTACATGTGCTAGTTGTTATTAGCATTAAGAAAACAAGAACTCCAACTCAAGTAGTATTAACTTAAGTAAGCTAGAGGTATTTTTCTATTTTAAGGACACAAGAGGTAACCAGTGTGTCATAATGAAGCAATTTTTAGGTATTAGGGGCTGTTTCAAATGTGAAATCCTAGTCTGCAGGAATAGGAGGGGAAAAATAGGAGCTCTTCCTCTGGATATTTTGGTGAATTACACACACTATCTTCTTTCTTCTCTCCCAAAACCTTGTTTAGTGACCATAGCTTCCAGAAAGCTCGAGAAAGTCTTTTAGCTTGAGGGCAATGTGACTGGCCTTCACACACACACAGGCTACTTTCATTCCATTAAGTCCTGATTCAGTATATCTTGGCTAGAACTGACTTTTCTAATTAAATTAAGACGGGTGGTCAGGGAGATAGCTCTAGAGGTAGAGTGCATGTCTATTACGTGCTCTTAATATTTGGTCTCATTTCATCTTAATTTAGGCAAGGCCCTGAGTTTGTTTCCCAGAGCCTTCCCACCCCATGCCTGCCTGCGGCGCCTTCAGGGGAAGCTGTGTGGGAAGAGCACCAAGCACCGAGTCTTCCCCTCCCCCTCCCTGGACCCACTGCACTGTGCACTGGAAGCGGGGGCGGGGGACCAGGGCCCTC